TGGTAAGTGTATAAGCTAGGGGAAAACTGGCTGGGGGACTGCTGCTCGGGGGCTGACTGGGCATCAGTCAGTTGGTGGTAAGCAATTGTTTTTTTCATTTGCATCCCTTGTCTGTCTTGGGTTTTATTTCTATCTTTTTTCGTTATCTTCCTTTTCATTACTTCTTCTTCTTCTTATTATTATTTTATTTTATTTCAATTATTAAACGGTTTTTATCTCAACCCATAAGTGTTCTCATTTTTACTCTTCTGATTCTCTCCCCCATCCCACTGGGGGGCAGTGAGCAAGCGGCTGTGTGGTGTTTAGCTGCCTGCTGGGTTAAACCACAACAGCTAAGTTTTTGATACACTTAAGTATTGAAAAATCAATAGAGTTATTTTTGAGCTATCAAAGTTATTGTAAAAAAGTAAGATTACCAACAGACTTATCACTTTGGATCCAAAATCTTACTACTTGAATCAAACATGAAAATCTCAGTGACAGCTGCTTACAATATATTCTGTAGACTATGGTTTCCTGAGTTCCTGAAGATATACTCTTCTCAACGACAACAGAAATAATGGTCTGAAATACTGGCATAGAAAAAGAAAAATCTAGAGGCTTTTGGACTGTAAGACTGAAATGCTGCGTTTTATAGGATTTCATGCATATAGGTTCAAAAGAAGCTAATTTTCAGACAGTTTGTCATACCAAGGCATTTTGTCCCCTGAGTTAGGCACTGCAGAGAGGGAGAAAAAAAGACACCAAAGCTTAAATTTAAAGGGTTCTACCCCTTATGTTTAACTGCTGTGGATCAAAGGACCCACAGGAAAAGGTCTAAGAATCAGCAAAGCCATGTGTAAATACACTGAGAATAACTCATGGTTGAAATACTCATCCCAAATCAAGAGATAAAAGGGAAAACCATTCACAGTGAAAATGACCCATAACATTAAATTAATGTTCCCAAATAAGAGTGTATTCTGAAGGATTCAGATAATGAGGTGGTATATGCTGCCACAGATTAAAAAAAAAGCCTATTATCTTCTGATCCTGTACCATGAAATACTTAAAACCACCTCTGAAAGAGAGGTTGGCCATTGCTTGCATTATCAAACCTTTTCCAGAACTGAGCTTGAGAAACATAGATTTAGTACATATATATTACGAATTTAGCCACTTTGACAAAATAAAGAATCTTAAATTCATCAAGTTTCCCATTATTTTTCAACTGGCTTTATTTGGGACACTTTGGTAGTTCTACACTTAAGAGATGGATCTGACAAATGGATTGAAATAACCTGAATGCTCCCTGTCAGATACAAGGATGACTACTTAGCTTTAAAATGTCTTTTGCCAGAGGAACTAACGGGGCTAGCATCAGGGCACCTTTTGGAGGAATTTGTAAGCCAGTAAGCTTTCTTTACAAGAAAAAAAAAAAATCCTTAGAAAGTAGTTGGTTTTGGTTTTGACTTGCACAAATATGAAAACAGATCAAAGTCTCTACCTCAGGAGCTTGCCAGCTTCACTTTACTCAAATTATGAATGAAAACACAGAAGCCCTGGTTTCAAAACCCAACATTGGTCTAAAAGCCAACACTGATTAAATTAATTCTGGATAAGAAACAGCAAATGGTTCCATTACTAGTCATGAACTGGAGCTAAGGAATAGTTAGTGACAACCTTTGATCACCACGGTCAGCAAAACACCGAAATGGGAGGGACACAATGAAACCTGTTTCTCTCTTCAGCAGAGTATGTTAATTGTATGACATAGCTTAATGTAAACAATTTAACCGACAGACAGAAGGAAAGAAAAGAGTATTAGTAAAACTTTTATGAAAGGCATAAATGACAGAATAATTTCTAGCATGAGTTTTTTAGTCTCCATCAGTTTGAATAACAGAATTATCAGAAAAAGGTAAGCACTAGCAAGTTAGCAATACTGTCTCTATGCCATGTCAGCCTCAGGTGCTGTGCATATCGCAATTAATATATCAAGTCTAATATTAAAAGTTATGCTATGGATGATGCATAAAATCACTGAAATTCATTTCAGTTTTCTTTGAAGCAATCCCCACTAGTTACATGAACTCAACGCTTAAAACAATCATTATATTTTATAGTATAATCAACTGATATACTCAGAATGACATGATAAATTTAAGTCATTATTATAAAATGTATAACCAAAATAATATAATAATAATATTTAATGATCACTCCATTTGAGCTGGTATTGAATTTGAGTTTTTTTTGTTTAGTGAATCAACAAAATAATCAGAGATCTGTCTACAATTTTTTAAAAAGGCTTCTCTTCTATCACAACCAACGTTTGATATGAGAAAAGGATTTTGCCATGCTTGAAAAATGGAGGAAATTAGCAACAGCATATCAATGGTTCATCTACCATTTTTAAGCTCATCTGATGTATTTTAATACGAATTTAAGTATTTAATATTTTATACTACTGAAAAAAAGGTCAAAGGAATTATGTATCAGAAAAATTGATCTACCGTTACCTGATTTCAAACTTTTACCTTCCTAAGTCTATCCTAAGTTTTCCCCCCCAAGTCATTATCTTTGCTATACAAAACTCACAAAATCGACTTCAGATCTTACAACACAGAAAAGAGTGTAAAGAAATATTAATAACTTAAAAAAGCACTTGTCTCTGTCCTTGCAAAGGGTCCTTCAATGCTGAACATATACTTATTAATGAACAACTTAATTACAGTCCACAAAGTTCTGAAATTTTAATGGGTCTCATTTGACATCTATTTCACAAGGCATAATTAAATGGAAATATTCGTAACAGTTTCAAAGCATATTATGGGATGACACTTAAGGTTTGTTTCAGTGTAGTGCATGCATTGTTCTGCACAAGAAAAATCTTTCCTGCTTTAATGAAGGAATAATGCAGAATACTCTTTCTAAAAATGTTGTAACAATACAGCTTAATACAGTAGAACCAATAAATAATTTTATGAAGTCATAAAATGGAGAATAACAGGCTGTTCATTACTCACATTTTAACAATCAGCTTATGAAAGAAAGAAAAAGAAATACAGAGGAGTTTCAGAATAACACCAGACTGATACATCTGAAGCTAAACCCAGGCAAATTATGCAGAACTCCTTTTTGTTTAGCTGATGTTAAGGATCACCCTTGGAAAGTACCCTCCTGTTGTGTGGCATTTTGCATTTTGTACTTTCAGCGACCACTGATCCCCAAAGCGCTTATGTATAAATAAAAGAAGCTACCTAAGTCCATCAAGATAGATAACATAATCCATTCATTCATTTTCTAGATAGTGCTACTTACTGCATTAATTATATCCAGCAGATCTAGAAAAATGAGCAATAATTGCTGCTAACTAAAAAACAAGGTTGAAATTTAAAACGAACAATATTTTTCTATTTTAAGAAATCTTGCGATATTTATCTACAAATGTTTGTGAAACGATGATTCATACCAATGCCATCTTACAAAACCTCTCTAAAGAAATAAATCAGATGAACAACTTTAAAGAGAACTGGGATATCCGTTTTGTTTTCATAGAAATAAAATGGTCAAGGATCATAAATTTGCTTAACCTCAAAATATTTATCTACATAACATTATTTAAATCAACGAATATGTCTGTTTTACAGAAAACTGAATCACAATGTCTTAGTAAATAAATCTAAGAAAGTATTAAAAAAAGAAAAATCTACCTTTAGAAGAAAAGAAGATCCATCCACTTTTGCTTTTCCTACCAGCTGGCAAGTGAGATCAAAGAACAGCATTGGCTGAACACCAGACAATTTTGCTGCTGGTCCAGAGATGGAAAGATTACTGGCTGCCCAAACACGTAATTCTTCTATTGTTTTCTGTTCTTCATCCATGAAAGTGTACACTTTGCTAGAGGTTCGAGGAACTACTGGTGCTCCTACAGTTCCATCAAATGTCAAGGATGCAAATCCCACGCTGGTAATTCCCTGCATCTGTCCATTGTATTCCCTGATCTGTAACAAAATATGAAGAAAAAAAAATATTGGTTGCACTGCATCAAAATACACATAGGTTTCTGTTTTATCATGTGCATGAAGAATGGACCATTGATCATTTTTGTTCCTGGTGCTATTAGGAGAAAGGAGTCAAAATAAAAACAAAACAAAAAAAGGAAATTAACATTAACAAGAAAACAAAGTGAGTAAGCAGAAAATATAATCTAACACAAAAAATTTTTTAAAGAGGCAAACTAATACCCACCTGTAAATATACAGCATCAGTGCAGAGTACTTTATTCACAAATCTCAAAATGTCTGTGTGAGGAACACATCAGGATTGCTTTTACAGATGGGGAAACTGAGGCATGAGAGAAATTAATTTTTAGGGGTCACACAGCAGAGCGATGGTGGAGCACAGTTATTATGGATTTCTGATGAGCTTTCATCCCTTGAATTATGAATACAGCTTTCACAATTACTCGTATGTCCACTGCCCTGCACATGGCAGGTCCCCTGTATCCTGCTGATTTAGCTGTGTATCTGCTACCATATAACAGTGTTCAAAGTCTGAAGCATTTGTTTCAAGGATCTAGTCTAGTCTTATTGTTCCCTGCACTTTATATATATATATCAAAGCACTGCATGACTCATTATCCAGAAATCTCAAATTAACTGTTTTGATCTATCCCTTTTTAATTAAAAACTGCTTACCAAAAAAGCAACAAGACTTCTAATATAGCATTTGTGAGACAATCTAGTTTAGGATTCCAAGTGCTCAATTTTCAAATGGCTGAAAAATCCTACTCATTTAAAGGTGCAGAATCTGAAAGATGTAACAGAAGTTCTAAACAGCAACATTTTTTACCAAAACAGCAACATTTAGGCCTATATTTTATAAACACACTGAAATTTAAAAATTTAAAAAAAAAATTTAAAAAGCACACAAATCAAGTGTTCCTTGGAAATTCATAAATAAAGCAGTTCAACCTTGGTGACAGGAACTCCTTTAATCCCTGCTACTTTGACATAATGCGTAAATGCATTAAGGATCATCTCATCATTTCATTTATTTAAGCATTCTCCAGACCTGACCAATGGAGCACATCATGATGCAGTTTTTCTTCATTGTAACACTGAAAAGCTTTAGTGTTTTAACCTTTAGGTTTAAATATTGAAAATACAAGAAAAGCCAATGGACAAATCAGGAAAATACACAGTTTCATAATCAACTCGTGCCCATTACCCATGATCTGGAAAAAAATGTTCCACTATAACACTAAGACGTTATCTAATATAAATACACAGATTTACTTTAGTTCCTGCCACTGGCATTATATTCCATAGCTTCTCAAAATTGGTAACATCCAGAGGGGAGGAAAACTCTCTTTCATCACTTTTACTCATTCATCCGCTATCAAAAGATACCTCAAGCATATTTTTAAGTATATTGTCTAACATGTCAAATATTTCTCAAAGTGTTTTCATTTCCAATTTACCTACTTATTTATTTATTCACAAATTCTTTTAAATCATCATCAAAATATCTTGACTTCTTTCTTACTAAAAAGTCTGTCCTAGACCTCTAGCCTTTTTATGAGGGCTCTAAACCTTTCAGGAAACTAGTTCAAGAAACTACTTTGTCTCCCTGGGCTTCCACTAATATTTCATCATAGACTATTTTTTCCATTTCCCAAATCCTTTATGTTATGTTTTGAGCATTCAGGAGGCTGCGCTTGAACATATTGTACTTCTGACATCTCCTAGTACCCTCATTTAGTGGATTTGAAATCAGCCTTATTTAGTTATAAAATAACAAAGGAAATAAAATATATAAGAAATTAAACCTGAAGTTTCATGATGAGAAAATTACCAATGATGTTGAAGCAAAACCAAATGTCCTTAGGCATAGGTATGTGGAGAAGCCCCTGAGTGGTCTCAAAGGTAAACAGCATTCAACAACATTATTTAGTGAACAACAGAACAAACAGGAAAAGTAAATGTAGAATGGGTTACAGACCAAAATATTTCATAGCTGGAAAATTACTTATGTCAGACCCACAGAACAGATGACGGTCAATAGAAATTCTCCAGGCTTGTCTTTTAAAAACAAATCATTGCTAAAATGATGAGGAATCACTGGAGTGTAAAATGAACAAAATCCATGGCTAAATGTTGTTTCATTATGGCACTCTAAGTAGATCTCAGGTCAAGTTAAGCAGTGATACTGTAAACTAGTTCTATTTTCCACACATAAACGATTTTGAAATTGAATTAAACTTAGGGAAAAGAGCTAATCTGAGACTTTTGTATATGATGACAATTCCCCATCAGTAGATTTGGTGTCATTTCTAGAGGCCTTGGGGATTTTTTTAAAAAATCGGGGGTTTTTGGGGGGAGGGGGGGCGAGAACAGGGAAGTGGGGCAGAAGGCTGTCACTTTAAAAATTCCCTGAGAATTTTAAATACGTTCAACAAATAATGGTTGCTAAACAAAAATATCTTCTGGGACAAAACCAGAGCTTGTTCTAAGCACGCAAGTAAATTCCAATACATATTGCGGGAGTCTTTGGCATAGTTTTTATAAACTAAAGAACAAAAGGTGAAATGTCACCTCAACAAACTGCGTGGACAATAAACCCTAGTGATTTCTATGGGGTACAACTCTATCCTGCATATGCTCATTCAAAAGAAGCTAATCTTGAAATATTTATAAATAGATTTACAGCAACCTAAACCACCTGAATGAATTTTTTTTTTTTTTTTTACTGAAGCTGGTGTTATTCACCTCACACAATGGAAGAGAAAAGTGCGATAGTAACTAGTGTATAAAGCTGGAATAATAGCATCTCCAAGGTAGTTTTCCATCAAAACTGATCGTTAAATTGCAGAAGCAAAGGACTATTACAAAGCCAGCATAGTCACAGATCATCTTAGAATATATAAAAAATGCCTTGTAAAACAACATATACTAAGCTAATGTACACATTCTTATACTAAGAAGGAAGATTTCCTAAAATAAATTTAACTATTGATTTGTGGAAGAATCAGGAATTCAAGATAATATTTTGAAACATGAGTACATTAAGCTTAAAACTTGATTATTATTTATACATATAAAATTATTTCAAAGATTAAGTTGTGTTGTGGTTTGTTTTTTTTTTTAACTTGAATTATTGCATCATCTGAAATGCACTGTCCAAACTTCTATTCCAATTTGAGTGTACATCCAGCTGAAGATCTCATTGTAAGGTATCTTTCACCTAAGCAGAAGTCAAAAACTTATGATCCTTGTGATTCATGGTTGACAACAAAATAATAAAAGATCAATGTTCACATGCTGCTACTCACTCTTCGCTTAACTGCAGAAACGTCACATATATGAAATGCTAGTGAAAACGAAAGAAAGAGTGCAAAATTGTCTATAGGCAATGTATCTGCAAGAATTATAGTTACTGTGGTGAGCAATGTATTCCTCTCAGTTAAACACATGTACATAAGCACATGCCACTCTGTGTGACACAAACAGAGTTCAGTTGATGCTGAAGCAAGATACCTTATGCAAATAAGCAGGAATTGCACAGGGCTAAGAAGAGGCTAAAAGTTAGAGTAAGACCTTTGGAGATGTTTCTCAGTAGCCCTCTCCACACTTGGCAACATGAGAACGACTTCAGTCCTACAATCTGGAAACCTACATTTTTAAAACTAATCTGGAAACAGGAAATGCTTGCTTTCCATTCTGAGTGTCTTGCAGTGCACAAGGGTGGGATGGGATGGAAGGCTAAAAAAAACCATCACAAACACTGAAGACATACTTCCAAGCTAAAAGGCAGTTACAGATTAAGTATTTGAATGATATACACATCCCATACAGAACATGCAAAGAGACAAATACTCTGATACCAAAAAAAATGGTTTATTAAAATTGCTACTAATTTAATAACTTATTGCTCAAAAATATGCTAGACAACTGAACCCAAGCCTTAACATCATATCAGATCCAGAGATTAATTTCTTTGTAAAAGTTTGATGATTGTCACTGATGCTCTTTATACGAAAAAAAGTTTCCTGTCAAAAAAACACCCAAATGCATTTGGTATATTTCCTTATATTTTGTAAATGTTTTCTCACACTAAGTAGAGTAAATCACAGTCTAAACAAGTTTGGATAATATGGTATGCTGATTGTATTTTCTTGTATTTTAATAATGTAATCCTAGTGTATGTGTACCTCCAGCTGTATGAACAGAGAGGTAATAATGAAATAGAGAAGCAGTTTGAAGTAACTTAGTAAATAATCTCTGTCCTTATATAAATTAAACGATTTTGAACATGTTTAAATACGTCAAGAAAACTGAACTACAAAAACTATCTGCAGGCACCTTCCAAAAGAAAGTTAAGAAGGCTAGTCATATGGAAGTAAAATTACTTTTTATGAAGACATAAAAAATACATCTAGATATTAGGACTACAAATTATAGCTTATCCCCTACTATTCCTGAGAATTTCTATCTGCAAAATGAGATTATCAGAAACGTCTGCAGCAATGGTAATACAAATTAAAGAAGAAAATGAACAAAACATTGTACATTTCATTTACCAGTTCAACTGAACATACTATAACTATTTTGTGGAAAAAAAAATTGTATGCAAAAAGTATATATACTTAAACCAGCTGAAATAATTTCTGTTTTGATAATAATTTAAAAAACCAGCAGGCATCGTGATACTGCTTTAGAAATAATTCCTCAGAGAAAGTGGCATAGTATATTTGAGAAAATTCTAGTAAAGTAAAAAATGTCAATTTTGGAATATTTCCTACATACTTAAGACACGATCAGGTAACTTGACCAAAAGTACTTAGATGAAAATTTCAGAAAACATATGTGCAAAATTCTAAGACTTCGAATTATGGAGGAACTCTATCACTGCCTACAGTCAGTATTTCCTGACATTATTTACTATAGAGCAAATACTTGTTTTTAATTTAAATTCCATAAAAACTTCAAAGTGAGTTGTATGCCTTACATAATTTTTGAAGGGAAGCCAAAAGCAATAGTAATACTGTTATTTCTGAGAAAAAATGTTGGTTTCTCTGTGTTAAAAAGAATCTCATAATTGTTTTCTGTCCTGGTTTCGGCTGGG